AGGCAGTTCTGTGGTCTAAGAACTAACAAGAACAGACAACCACCAGATATTGACATACGTGGCAGCACCTCCCAGACTAAATCAACAGATGAAGAGTCGAGATCAGAACAAAACTATAACAACAAACTCGGAGAATCTGGGAGGTCAGTCTATGATCAAAACAATTACAATGTGAAAGAAGGTAAACACTTTGGAACAGAGATCCAGATGGTGAGAAGGTCAGGTAGATTACAGGACAAAATAGACTGCACTAAATGGAGGGAAAAGTTAATGGAACATAAAGTAACCTCAAAGAAAATTAACACTTTGCAACATACCAAGAAAATGAAAATCCAAGAAGAACATGGAAACATTAAAATTATGAGGAAACTCACAAAAAAGAACACAAAAACCATGAACTCAGCACAGGAAGAAATGCAGAACAAAGAAAGTAGCAACACCACAAAAAAATCAAACATAATGGCAGCAATTAATTCATACCTATCGATAATTACACTGAATGAAAACTGATTAAATACACCAGTTAAGAGGTGGAGGATAGCGGAATAGATAAGAAAACAAGATTTTTCAATATGCTGTCTATCAGAGATACATCTTACACACAGAGACAAAAACAGATTAAAAATCTAAGGATGGAAAAAAATATACCAAGCTAATTGCAATAAAAAACAAACAGGAGTGGCAGTACTAATCTCCGATTTTAAAAGAAAAAAAGCTAAAGTGAATACAGAGAAATACTGTTAACGGATAGTACATGGAGGGGATAATAATCATTGTAATGAAACAAAGTGTATGATTTCTTGAATATAAAACTGATGATCTGCCCTTAAACATTCACTCAATCCACAATAAAAACCTTACACAACAACAACAAAAATGATCTAGAGACTTTGTACTTATTGATATGTAAAGGTGCCACAAAATACTGCTGCTTAGGTAAAAAACTTAAATATAGTTCCATGTGTGTAAAATAAAATTGCTTGGGGAACAGAAATATCTTAACACTTTAATCAATGCTATAATAGTGGGTTGCTGTAGGATAAGCACTAGACTGCTAACCACAAGGCTCCCTGGAAACCCTATGAATCAGAACCAACTCAACGGCACCTAGCAACAACATAATAATAGTAAACTATTATATCAAATGAGATTATAAAGACAATTAAATGCTAAATATGTCAAGAATTTCAAATAACATTGTGTTTACTCTTGGATAGAAAAAAATCACGTTACAAAAGCTTGCCTATCTTTAACTGCTAAATATTTTACTCTGGGTAAGAAACCATTTTAGTGATGTCTATCCACTCTTTGGAGTCTTGGTGTGGTGCGGTGGGTTAACACGCCAGACTGCAAAGCTATTTGAACTGCAAGGTCGGTGGTTCAAGCTCACCAACTGCTCCTTGGAAACCCTATACAGGATTGCTATGGGTCAGGACCGACTCGATAGCACTTAACAACAACAACAACAATCTATTCTTTAATTCACATAACTGCAAGGAGTATTATCTCCATTTTTAGAATCTTTCAATATATTATTTATTGCCTACACCACATTCCTTCCTTCCTTTTAGTAAAAGATCCCTCAATTTGTAGCTAAGCATATAGGTGTTCACCAAAGACTGTATTTCCCAACCTTGGCCACATTGCAAAAAAACGAAACAAGATCAGTATATCTCACAAAATATACAAAAATGAACTTAACAGGGATTAAAGACCTAAACACAAAAACAAACAAACAAACAAAAATCACACACAAAAAGAAAGTTACACAGATCTCAATAAAGATCCTAAAACAACTTGCAAACCTGAATTTAAAGCCTAGAACTATAAAGATCATCAATGAAAAAACAGGGACAAACTTAGGGACTGTGATACATGGCATAAACACACTATCAAACATAGGTGAAAACATACTAACAGAAGACAAAATAGACGATTGAACCTTCCAAAAATCTATGTATTCAAAGGATTTCACCAAATGAGTAAAGAGAATCCAAAGACTAGGAAAAAAGGTTTAGAAATGACATATCAGACAAAGTACTCTCCAAAATTTATAGAACATTTTAAAGCCTCAACAAGAAGATGATAAATAGTCCAATTAAAAAATGGGGAGAGAACATGAACAGACACTGCACCAAAGAAGACATTCACACAGTCAACAAACATATGAAGAAATATTCATAATCATTAGCCATTGTTGTTTTTAAGTGCTGTCGAGTCGATTCCAACCAATAGCGAGCATGTGTAGGATTTCTGAGGAATGGCTGGTGAGCTTGAACTGCTGACCTTGCACTCCAGCGCACTAGATGACACAGCACCACGAGGAGACACAAATCAAAACAACAATGATATAATGACTCCAACATTAATAGCAAAGTTCAAAATATTGGGGGGAAAAATAAGAAAATGACAAACATCACAATAGAAAACTGAAAAAAGACTGGACAAGCACTGCAGAGGAGAAGAAAATTGAATTGTGACTAGGAATTGGTATAAACTCTATAGCATATCTTGTGAAGCAAAGTTATTCCAACACCAGCATGATCACGTAACAGCTGTTCAATGAACACACAACGGATGAGTAAATGAACACCCAATTCTGACTCATAGCGACCCTGTATAAGGTATCCAAAGTTGTAAATCTTTATGGACGCAGAAAGCCTCATCTTTCTCCCAAGGAGCAGCTGGTGGGTTTGAACTTCAGATTTTGTGTTAACTTGTCCAGTTCTTATTCTACAATACTACCAGGGCACTTTGAATAGGAAGATTCAATATTTTTAAATGACAGGAGGCATCTAAAACCTAAAACAAAAAACAATGGGACAAAAATACTCTAGAAATGTCTAAAGATGATGAGGTATATATAAGCTTACTCTGCCAGAGTTTTGAAGATTTATTAAGCTTCAGTGAGACAATGTAGTCCTATAATTAGGTAGGGACACCACCTTAAAGCAGGTGAAATCAGTTACAGATGTTCTGAAGCTCTTTAATCACAAATCCAAAAGACACATACATAAAAATGCAAAAAATAAAATGTGTAGTAAAAATATATATTTATTATTAATACACATATAAGCACATATATAAACATTCATGCCACCTGGCAGAAACATTTATAAGTAAGCATTTATGGTCACTTATTCTGAAAACCAGAATAAAACCAAAAGGACTGATTTAGATGACTTCATCCCTGTGTATCTTTGCTTGAAATACAAACTTTTGTAGATTGACTACTAACCACAAGGTTGGCGGTTCTAATCTATTAGCAGTTCCTAGGAAACCATATACTGGGTGGCTTTGAGTCAGAAACAACTCCTAGGCACTTAAAAACAACAACAACAACAATACAGGCTCTTAAGGACCCCTTGTGGGACAATGGCTACGTGCACAGCTGCTAACCGAAAGGTCAGTTTGAATCACTAGCTGCTCTGTACAAGAAAGCTGTGGTAGTCTGCTGCCATAAGATTTATAGACTTGGAAACGCTATAGGGTAAGTAGTTCTATAGCACTGCTATGCGTCAGAGTCCATTTGAAAGCAATGGGTTTGGTTTATGTTTTATACAGGCTTTTACAAATAAAAATAAAACTTCAAAAATAGCACTTCAATTATAATCTCAATGAACAAATATCCTAAAATTCCACCCACAGGCCTAAAATGACATGAGCAAAATGAAAGATTTAAAAATTATCCCTTAATGTTCTTGGTTTACTATTAATTTCCAAGTCAAACCTAACCCTAAATATATATATGAGTGTTTGTGTATATGTGTGTGTTTTCCATTAGGTGCACATTTCCAAAAGGAGTGACAGCGAAAAATAGGAAGAATTGGCACTCTCTAAGGTTTAAAATACAATGCTTAGATTAAAAAATATACAAGGGTCTTCAAAAATTCATGGAATTAAGCAATAATAAAATTTTTCCACAAACTTTTTGAAGCCTCCCTCACATATATATTTATATAGTATATTAGTAAATCAACAAAAACAAATGCTTTTGAACAACAAAATCAAATTAATTTTTTTAAAGTGTTGACATATTACATAAAATTTCCCCCAAAATCCATTCCTTTTCCTGTATTAAGGCAGAATAATGGGCCTGGTCACTGAAGCCAAAATTATGAAAGATTCCCTACATGTCTACCTCTCCCTTCATATTCAATTACTGTAATAATCAAGAACTGTCAATTTTATGTTATTAATGTTTTCCAAAGATACCCCCAACACCCCTGTATCCTAACTACCAATGCCTTCATTAAAACCCTCATTTCCCATCTAAGACTATAACAACAGGTTTCTAACTGGTTTCCCTGCTTCCAGTTGTATTTTACTATAAGACATCCTTTGAGGACAAGTCTTAAAATGACTTGTCATTTCTTTATTTAAAAACAAATGCTATACTCCATGGCCTTTAACAAAAAGCTTTTTTGTTTTTTTCCCCTTAAGCTGGATATACACAACATCTGAAGGTCTGGTTATTGCTGAACAAAGTCTAAGCTCTCATCTTCTATCACTACTCTAATTGTACTTTCATTCTTGTCATGCCTAAAAGGACTACTCCAGGCTGTTTCTATCAATAGTTGCCAAGAAGAGATATGCTCCTTTCAACACTATCCCCATATTCTTACATTTTCTTACTATCTTTGGCTCCCTGATCTGCCAAGGCATATGAATCCTTCAAGATTCAGCTCAGGTTTTACTTCTTCCTGAAAGCCCTCCCTTCTCCCATTTCTGTATCAGTTTTGTTCCTATGATACCAATACGCTCTCAACAGAACTTTTTATACTACTTAATCGTTGTTTGACCAGCTCTGATCATTGTTTTTGATGACCTTAAAAGGAAACTCATTTTGTCTTCAGTTCTGTTCCCTAAAAGCTAAGCATGATAACACAGTACAGGCACCAATGAATCAAAAATACTTACTGAACAATTACATGAATAAATCAATCTTCACAAATATGTACATAAACAGAATGTGCTTTAAAATTTCTTATATTACTTACCAAATTTTAGTGCTGCAAGGATTCAGCATATAAAGATCCATATTTTCTATAAGAATAGCAGATGTGCTCTATTTTAAAAGAGGGGAAGGGATAAATTATTTAAGTAAGATTAATAAAATGTATTTATTTCACCTCTAATGTTTTCTAGGGATTTCTGTATTTTTAGATGCTAGAATAAATCTAAGACATTGGAAAGAACACATATTTGAAAACATTAAAATGACTAAAATCTACTAGTAGGGCCAGAAAGCCAAATTACCTGTACAACCAAACATTTAAAATTCAGTGTCTGTTACTATAAGGAAAAAATTATCTAATAGCTGTTTCCTTTTTTATAATGTCACAGGTTCTAAAAGCTAAAACACAGAGAGCAATCAAATGTTAATCAAAATAACTAAGAAGTCATACAGGAAAATATCTAACTTTTTATTGAATGAGGAATATAATAAATTCATGTTAGAAGAGTACCTAGTAAACAAACCACTGCCTATATGTAATGAAGTTACTCATTAACACTCACATACCTTGGCTTCCGGATTAGCTGCCAAAATCTTGGCACCACATTCTACTGAGGCGTAATTATTTCGATTTTTCTGGACTTTTTTGGTAGCATGTTGACCCCCATTAGAAGTTGGATGCATTGACTGACCTGCAGACAAACCTTATTATAAACATATTTATGTGGTCATTATAATCGAAAATACCTTCAGCAGTACAATTGATTCTCAAAATTAACAGGGTACCTTCTAGAGAAGAACAGGTTTTAATGCCTACCAATATTATTTTTTTACTTCATTGCAATCTTTTTTAAATATTTTTTTAAATTTTTTACTTCATTGCAATCTTTTTTAAGTATCTCCAATAAACTACCAAAGTCATTATTATTTATGTCTAAATAGTATAACTCACTACATAAAAATAAAAAATTAAAACTACATAATTATGTCATTGTTATGTGTTATCATCAAGTAGGTTCTGACTCACAGCAATCTTATTTAGAGTTTCTAAGGAGCAGCTGGTGGGTTTGAACCACTGTCCCATATCCTACAGTGCTACACTAGGACTTACCCCTATGTAATTTATCTGTAGGTTAATGTGCCAGACTGCAAAGCCATTTGAACTGCAAGGTCGGTGGTTCAAGCTACCCAGGTGCTTCTCAGAAACCCTATACAGGGTCACTATGGGTTGGAAATTACTCACACAACAGCACTTAACAACAACAACAACAATTTATCAATACACAGTGGTAATCAACAACTAAGGAGCTCTGGTGGTGAAACAGTTAAGCACATAACTGCTAACTGAAAGGTTGCCTATTAGAACACATCCAGTGGTGTGTGCCAGAAAGCCCTGGTCATCTGCTTGCATAATGATTAAAACCAAATCCTTGAGTCAATTCCAACTCACAGCAACCCTCTACGACAGAGTAGAACTGCCCCAAAGGATTCCCAAGGCTGTAAATCTTTTATGAACGCTAACTGCCACATTGTTCTCCCATGAAGCAACTTGGAGGTTCAAACATTTTGGATAGCAGACAAGCACTTAAACATGTTATAGCAAAGAAAACCCTATGGGACAGTTCTACTCTGTAACATATGAACTGGAATAGATACCACCCAACAACAATAATTACCTGTAAGTGGCATCTTTTAAAACATTTCAAAGTAAGTTTATTTCAGTAATTCAAAAGATAAAAGCAAGTTTAATCTATCCTCTTAAAAACAATACAACAAAAAATGAGGGTGGGGTGAGGTGGGGTGATGATCCAGACTTGCTTACTTTTTTCTTTCTCAACTTCCATAACTTTTTTCTTCCATTCATCAAATGTTGGGATATCTTCTGGATCTTTGGAATTTGCTACAGAAGGGTCAATTTCACCTGGCTTTTTATAATCAGAACTCTGAAAAGAATGTCAAAATTGAACAGATTTCAGCTTTCAAAGACTACAGATTAATAAATTACAAAGTGCAAATGTTGTAAGATTTATTTATTATAGGTTTTAATTTTTAAAATGAATAACAGTATTTTGGAAAAAATAGGTAAAACTAAACAGTTGGATTTACTTAAAAGTTGAGTTTCTCTTGAAAGAATTCACACCATTTACCTACGAGTCTCACATGTTGGCAATATAAGCATGAACTGTGAAAGATCTTATATTATTAGCAAACAATTATAAACATTATAAACAAATCAGACATTCTAATTGAAATGTACCTACTTTAAAACTTAACTCTAAACAATGCATATATTTAAGGACACAATGTAATGTGGTGGTGCTGGTGGTAGTGGTGCTGGTGGTTCTGTGCCGTGGAACCAGGTCCGACTCATAGTGATGCTATACAGGGTTTTCAAGGCTATATATCTTTACGGGAACAAAATGTCTCATCTTTCTTCCATGGAACCTCTGGTAGTTTCGAACAGCTAACAGTGAGATTAACCGCCCAATTTGTAATCACTACGTGACCAGAGCTCTTTAAAGGTAATATAATTTTCATAAATGCTTAACAAGTACTATATGCATAAAAATCTTAGGCAGTTTTAAAACCTAAATATAAAAAAAAATAAATAATTTTAATAAGGTGGAGAAATCATAAATATTTTTTTAAATATACATTTGTTTAGATTAAAATAAAAAAGCAAATTCATCCAAAGATCATAAACTACATAGATCATTAGTTACACACTGACAGAAGTATTTGCAACACATTTAGTTGACAAACCAATTATAAAGAGTGCCTACAAATCAGTAAGAGGGAAGGGAAGCAAAGAATATGAACAATAAATTCAACAGAGAAAACAAAACTAAACGTGCCCAATCTCAGTAGTAAGAAGGGAATGTAAATAAAAATTACAAATGTGCCACATAAATTATACTAAGTGACATATTTGTTGGGCCACGGGAAATCTATTAGATTGATGAAGGGAATCCAAAATGTGGCAATATTAAAGATGTGCAAACCCAACAATGTCTTAGCTATGTATATATGGCAAATAAAAATGCACATATGGGCCAAAGAAACTAAGCATACAAATGTTCATGCAGTATTGTTTGTTTCAAAAATTAGAACCAAACGAAACATCCAGTAATTGAAGAATGACAAATTATGGCAAAGTAGAACCAGGGCTTTGAACCAGTTCAAGAGAGTTCAGTAATTGTCATTATCAACAAGAACAGAGTCCTGATGACAATGTTGTTCTCCAAAAGTCCTTCCACAATCTTTCCTCCTGAGTTCAAGAGCCTGGCACAGGAGACTAGATTATTAGCGTCTGGAGAACAAAGCGTAGTCAGTTTCCATCTTTAAGTACAGCACAACTGTTTGTTTTCTACTTGTATAAAAATACTATGGTCAATAGATTTGGTTGCTATGCACACATAGCATTTGTTTACTACAATGATTATTGAACCAGTTTGAAGCCCTGAGTAGAACGGATGATCAAAGCAATAACAAAAAATGGATGCATCTCAAAAACAAGGTTGAGTAAAGAATAAATAAGAATGATTTTTTTTTTCCTCAAAATATACCATGCAGCAGTATGTATTCTTTATAGTTCTAAACTATTTTCTAAAAGGAAATAATACCAAATCCCATGTGGTGTTTGTAACTAAAGATGAGAGAATAAATGTAATCTGTATTGTTTTTTCCTTAAGCTGAATAATGAACACACAGATGATCATTCCATTATTTGTTTTTCAGATTTGTACATGATGAATTTATTAACAATGTTTTGAGAAGTATACAAAATCTACTTACCCAGCTAGATTTTATAAATAGCAAAACACATTCAGTAAATACATATGTTATATCAGGACATAATTTTATCACTAGTAGTAAATACTGGTAGCTTCTAGAACTGTAATTTCCTTCGTTCTTAAAAGAAAGTAAAATTATTCCTAAACACTGCCTATGCAGTTCTGTCCTCACACAATTCCCATGAAGGAATGTTTTATAGAAAAAGCTAAATAAGTTAACTAGCTTAGTACATCTGGCTATTTAAAAAGCACACAGCAGAAATTGAAGTTTTAAGAATTAAGTGTTACTGCTGTTGTGTTCTGTCGAATTGGTTCCAACCCACATCGACCCTATACAGGGTTTCCAAGAACAGCTGGTGGGTTTGTACTGCCAACCTTCTGGTTTCCAGTCCAGGGCTTATCCTACAGAGTCACAACTGTTATGGCAGTTAGGTGCTATCGAGATGATTCCAACTCATAGCAACCTGTATAGGGTTTCCAAGGAGCAGTTGGTCGGTTTGAACTGTTGACCTTGTAGTTTGAAGTCTAGTGCTTATTTTACAGCACCACAATGTTGTTGTTGTTAAGTGCCGTTGAGTCGATTCCGACCCATAGTGAACCTGAACAGGGTTTCCAAAACTGTAAATCTTTACGGGAGCAGAAAGCCTCATCTTTCTCCTGCGGAGCAGCTGGTAATTTCAAACTGCTGACCTTGTGGTTCGCAGCCCAATCTGTAACCACTGTGCTACAGGAACCACTAATTAAATGAAATAAAAATCTAGTATAAATACAAAAAAATGAAACATATAGTGACAGAAATTAACCTAGCTGAGACACTTTCGAGTCTAAACTCTAAAGGAGTGGTAACAAAACACCAGAACAGACACCTTTTGAGGCCCAGACAAAGCAATCAGTATCTATGACCTCTGAACAAGGAACAGAACTAACCAATACAATAAAATCACCCTCGAAAGCACTGTCTAAACACATGGTAAATTCAAGCTGTTGGAGATCCTTTAGATAACACAAAGATCTATCCACCTGAAAATAAACTCTCCTGCACACTCACACAAAATTAACTGGGTTTATTACCATACACGGGATATTTCACACTGTGAACTCCTGGGTATTTCTCATTGTGTACTACTATTAACTCTGATGATAACGTATTTTGAGGTTTTTATTTATAAGGTAATTAGTACAGTTAGTATTATTCATACCTATTAGTACAGACTCACAGTTTAAGTCTCTTAGGTAATACAGATCAGTTTGCTACACAGTTGTTGTTAAGTGCCATCAAGTTGGTTCTGACTCACAGTGTCCCTGTATGAGGGTTTCTGAGGAGCAGGTGGTGGGTTTGAACTGCTGAACTTGTGGTCTGCAGTCCAATGCTGATCCTACAGCATCATACCAGAAATCTAATAGTAGAACAAGTAAATCCAGAACAAGGCTGGCTGCTACATATGAGGTTTGCATTTGATACATATGGCCCCTATACACTTGCTTTAATAGCTTGCAAATTTACTGACAGCTGTAATATTAACTGAATACCGTATGACTGATTTTGCTACATTGAGCAAACAGGTCTATCAAGATGTTAGACTAACTATGAAATGCTGAGTCCCTATATTTTTAAGAAGTACTACTATTAACCCATAAAGGAGCTCTGGTAGCGTAGTGGTTACGAATTGGGCTGAAAGCCTTAAGGTTAGCAGTTCGAAACTACCAGCCTCTCCACAGGAGAAAGACGAGGCTTTCTGCTCCCATAAGATTTACAGGCTAGGAAACCCTGTACAGGGTCGCTATGGGTCGGAAACGACTCAACAGCAGTTAACAATAACAACAACTAACCACAAGGATTCCTAGTGTAGCGCTGTGGGTTAATGCACTGGACTGTAATGTTAGCTTGAACAAAAGGGTCGGCGGTTCAAGCTCACCAGCTACTCCTTGGAAACCCTTTACAGGGTCGCTATGAGTCAGAACCAACTCAATGGCACTTAACAACAACAACTAACGACAAAGTCGGCAGGTCAAACCCACCAGCAGTTCCTCGGAAACCCTATAAAGTCAGAACTTACTAGATGGCACTTAACATCATAGAAAAAAGGAGTGCAGGTGGTACACTGGTTAAGCACTTGGCTACTAACTGAAAGGCTGGAGCTTCAGATTCACAAGCTGCTCTGTAGGCGAGAGCTGTGACAGTCTACTTCTGTGAAAGGTTTCAGCCTAGGAAACCCTATGTGCAGTTCTCCTCTATCCTATAGGGCTCTTATGAGTCGGGATCAACTTGATGGCAGCAGGTTTGCTTTTGTGGGTTTTATCATTCTAGAATGGTCTATTTACTTTCCAGTGCATTTTCCTCAGCACCACACCAGGGTTTATCACTGTCCTTTAATACTACTTGTTCTCCCTTTTGTTAAGTTCATGGCTGTTTTATTATTTGTTAAATTCATGAACAAGCCTGCATCTCTTTTAGCTATTGCTAATGTAAATGGAGCTTAAATTGCTGTGTCAACATTTCTTCAGGAAATTCTAAACTGGGCTCTATCTGAGTAAAGAACTCAGAAGGAAAAAAGAAAGCGAAAATACTACACTAGGATAAGCCCTGTCTTTATTATAAGAACCACACTCTGTAATACAACCTCTATTATATTTACTTTACTTGTATTTTACAAACAAATAAAAGTAAAAAGTCCCTTCAAAGTCATTCTGCTGAGTCTAAACTTCACCTTGTGTTATGGCATTAACTTACATTCCAAAGATATTTAGTAGTTACAGCTTCTTCTCTATAGCTCTCTAAGAAATGCAATAAGGATATAGTTGCATGTAAGTAAAGAGAGTTCAGACCTGAAACAAACTCTCTTATGGCAAATATGGTTAGAAAATTCCTACAAAATTACCTAATAATAAAAGTACAGTATTTAATTAAGTGATGGTCTAAGCATATACCTACCTCATTTTTTAGATTATCTGAAGCATTCAATGCAGATTTTGGATCACCACCACTCTGTTCGCTTGCTGAAACTTTTGATTCAAATTCTGATTTTGTTATCTTCCCTTTGCCATGTGAAGATGACACATTTTCTATATGCTGCCCAACAAGGCTATTTGAAACCAAAAGACATACAAATTTAGCCAGATGATAAATTCATACAAACTAGAATGCAATAGTTATCATATACAAGGTAAACCAAGAAAGAAGCTTAGAAGGATCAGCTCTCTCCCAATCATAAAGTACAATGAAAGTACAATGCATCATGTGCTAAAGTGCATTCAAATGTGAGACTACGTGATCACGTTATCATACAAAAGACAAACAACTGTCTACTCTCACCTTTCAGGTGGACTGACAAAGGAAGGTTGTTCAGCTGGAGCATTTGCATCAAGGGCTTCACCAACATCACAATTAGTTTCAGATTGCTCAATCACACTTGACTTGACTACAGGGACAGTACCAGATTTTTCTATTTCACTAAATAAAGAAATAAAAAACAAACAAACTCATGATTTAATGGGTTTAATATAAATTAAACAAGCCATTGGTGGTGGTTATGTGCCAGAACCGACTCATAGCGACCCTGTACATGGTTTCCGAGGCTGTAAATCTTTACGGGAGCAAAAAGCCTCCTCTTTCTCCCTCAGAACAGCTGGTAGTTTCAAACTGCTGACCTTAAGATTTGCAGCCCGATTCGTAACCACTACACTACCAGACCTCCTTAAACAAGCCATTAGTCATCTCCAAAACAAAATAAATTACATTATGAAAAAAGAATGCTTTACACAGTTCTATAGAGTATTTTCAAAAATCATTTATTTGAAATCACGTAAATTCAACTGTTGACTCATCGTGTCTTTGTCCTCAAATTACCAAATTTGAAAATAAAATATTATAAAGCTAATATTCAGTTTTATCAAACCTAAGATTTTTCAAAACATTTAATTCTAAATGTATGTTCATTAACAGTTAATTCATCTCAGTAATACACAGTATTTCAAGACATTGCACTAAAGTTCTTAGACACTTTTTGAATTTTATTTTAAACACATAAACCTTTAACATTTCCCCCCTTCTTCACCTCTATTTTATAATCAATTATATTTAGTATACTGAGAATAAGATATTCAGATATATATGTTGTTGTTGTTGTTGTTGTTGTTGTTATGTGCCGTGGAGTCAGTTTCCGACTCATAGAGACCCTACACAGGGTTCCCAAGGCTGTAAATCTTTACGGGAGCAGACCGCCTCATCTTTCTCCCACAGAACCACTGGTAGTTTATAACTGCTGACCTTGCGGCTCGCAGCCCAATTTGTAACCACTACGCTAATCTACTCAAATTAAGTTTTTAATTAAAAAAAATTTTTAAACATCATTATTTATAAACATGTCTGTTCTCTTGTCCCTCACTGGTAAAATTCCTAAATGGTAACTGTAATATATTTGTGTGTAACACCTTCCACTCAGCCCCTAGCATTCCTTAGAGCAGGTTTTTTAAAAGAGTCTGTGGTATAGTAATAGTAATGATAATAATATTCACTGTCACTTGTAAATATTTATACTATGTGTCAGACACTGGTCTATGCTCTTCATACATTATTAACTCATTTGATAAAGTAAACTCTTAATTTAAGAGAAGAGTACTTTGTTTTGGTGTTTGGAGAGTTGCTGAGTGAGAACTAGGAGGAGTACCTAACAGCTTTCTAAATTAAGGATATCCTAAATCTAAAAATTCTGACTATCTAGTATCAAGTTTGAAAATAGTAGGTACTCACACAGTAACAAAACAATGAATGGAAAGCAATAGGAATTCTAAAGAAAATGAAATTTTATACAGTCATTATGGTACTATAAGTTAAGTGCTGGAAGGAGCTCTAGTAGCGCAGTGGTTACGAATGGGGCTGCTAACCTCAGGGACAGCAGTTCAAAACTACCAGCTGTTCCACGGGAGAAAGATGAGGCTTTCTGCTCCCGTAAAGATTTAGAGCCTCGGAAACCCTGTACAGGGTCACTGTGAGTCAGAACCGACTCCACAGCAAATAACCACTATCAAGATAAGCGCAGGGACGCTAACTGCAAGGCTTCAAACCCACCAGCTGCTCCTTGGAAACCCTATAAAGGTTCACTGTGAGTCAGAACTGACTCAATGGCACTTAACAACAGCAATGTAAACAAAACAGAAAACACAATTAGGTCTGCTTTATAACAGAAATTTCAGACTTAACATCAAACTGATCCAACCAACCAAGAAATTTTTCTTTCATTAACTAATGAGATTATTTTTGTTCTTCGTAATGACTTACTCAGGCTTTGAGACTGGAGTGATCTCTGAGGTAGATGAGCTGGAAATATTTTCGACGTTTTCACTGCTCACATCCATGCTAGAAGAATCTTCATGTAGATTAATTGTAGGGAGTGTCTCAATCACAGGTGAACTTAACTTTGATTCTTTATTCTGCTTTAAAAATTTTTAATAAAAAAATTTGAAACAAATATACCCAGTACATGAAATGATGAGATTAATAAATCCTCTGTCTGATTTTACATAAAGTATGAGGGTTGAATCAAAAAGTATTGCTACTGTAGTTCCAGTTCATACACACACAAGTTTTTTCCCAAACAAAACACGTTTTTAAACCTATCTCTGTAACAAGTGGATGGCTGCAGATCGTTTTCTCAGGAATATACTTGTCTTATTATTATTAGAAAAGCCCTAGTAGCGCAGTGGATTACAAGCTGGGCTGTTAACCAATAGGTCAGCAGTGTGAATCTACAAGTCACTCCATGAGAGAAAGATGAGGCTTCGGGCTCCCATAAAGACGTGCAGCCTTGGAAACCTGAAGAGTTGGAACCAACTATGAGTTGGAACCAACTCCACAGTACACAACCACCGCCACCAATGTTCTCAGTTCTTGTAAAGTACTTTCGAGTTGGTTCTGACTCATAGCAACCCTATGTATGGTTTCTGAGAAGCGTATGGTAAGTTTGAACGACCGACCTTGCAGTTCAAGCCAACCTTTTGATTCAGTGCTTATCCTACAGTGCTACACCAGGATTCTCGTCTTGTTGTTGTTGTTATGTGCCGTGGAGTCGGTTCCGACTCATAGCGACCCTGTATAGGGTTTCTGAGGCTGGAAATCTTTACAGGAACAGAAAGCCTCATCTTTCTCCCGCGTTAGAGCTGGTAGTTTTGAACTGCTGACCTTGAAGTTTGCAGCCCAATTCGTAACCACTACGCTACCAGAGCTCCTTGTTAGGGTGCCTTAAAAAAAAAAAAAAACCAAGTCCAATCAAGACAGAGGCTTCCTAGAGAATGAACTGGGCCAGTTAAATTCAAGACAGAGGGGTCAGCTCAGGTTTCCTGAGATTCTGAAGGGATAACGTTGATAGGATAAGCACTAGACTGCTAATCATAAGGTCAACAGTTCAAACCCACCAGCTAGCTGCTCTAGGAAACCCTATACAGGATCACTATGAGTCAGATCTAACTTAACGGCACTTAATAACAACATTAAGAAGATGGCATCTCTGGATGGTCAAACTGTAACGTGCTCAACTACTAAAAAAAGATTGAAGGTTCAAATCTTGGAAGAAAGGACTGATGATCTACTTAAGAAAAACCACCATTCAAACCCCATGAAGCACAGTAGACTCTGACAAACATAATCACACTGAAGTTTGAGGTGACATACCAGCAATTGGTTTTTGTTTTGTTTTTTTTTGAAATAGAAATCCCATGAAAGTATGCAAAATAATACAATACAAAGTTCTTGCCCCTGAACAGTTTGAGATAATGTATATCGATAAACATTACAAAGGAGTTTATCATTCTTGCCATTTCTTCATCCATAAATGACCTGGACTATCACTCTACCATGTGAAATCTACCTAAAACTAAAAGTCATACTTGAAAACGTCTATCAGCATCTATCTCTCAAACCTAGGCAGAGTTAGCCATTCCCTACTTCCAGTCTTCCACTGCTCCCTGTAGACTTTGATCCCAACCTCATATGTCCTTCTTTATGTCTCCCTCCTTTCTTCAACTGTACTATTAAATGTTTTCAACAACACTACCTCGTTGTTGCTACTGCTTAGTTGATGTTGGGTCAGTTCTGACTCATGGCAATTCTGTATAGGGCTTCCAAGGAGCAAGTGGTAGTTTTGGAATACTGACTTTGTGGTTAACAGTCCAGTGCTTATCCTACAGCACCACCCAGTACCTACTAGTCATTTAAGGGCCTATTACGTATCATTAAAAGACACTACAGCTACAGTAATCAAAATAACTTGATTTTGATCAATGGGAGACACAGAATAGTGGAAAAGAATTGAGAATCCAGAAATAAATCCACCTACATCAGCACAACCAGTTTTCAACAAGTGGTCGATGTCTATTCAACAGAGAAGAAACATTTCCTTTAATTAACAGGGCTGGCAAAATTGGATATCCACTCAGAGAAAAATGAAACAGGACCCATACCTCACACCATACAAAAAAACCCAACTCAACTAGCTTGAAGACCTAAACGTTAAAAACTATAAAGTTCTTAGAAAAAACATGAGACCTAATTTTAAAATAAATTATTTAACACAACAACAAATGCATGGATTGGCACAGTGGCAGCAGCAATGGGTTCAAGTACAGCAATGTGTGGATGGTGTAGAACCAGGCAGTGTTTCATTCTGCTGTGCATAAGGTTGGCTAAGAGTCAGAACCAACTCTATGGCTCTTTAACAACATAAATGAATGAATGGCAGAAGACAAATTAGGTAACTGGGATCTCACAAAAACAAATTATTTGTGGCTCACCCACAAACTTTATCAAAAGAGTAAAAACTACAGACTGGGGGAAAATCTTTGGGAATATCTGATAAGAGTCTGATCTCTAAAATTATAGTAAACATCAACAACTGAAAAACAAAAAAAAATGCAATTTTTAAACTGGGCAAACAACATGAACATATACTTCACCAAAGAAGGCATTCAAGCAGTCAAGAAACATATGAAAGATGATCAATCATTAGCCAATGCTGCTTTGTTAAGTGTTGTCAAGTTGGTTCCAACTCACAGCAACACTGCATAGGTTTTCCAAGGAGCAGCTGGTGGGTTTGAAAAACTGACCTTGTGGTTACCTTATCACATAGCAACACACCAGGGATCCACAGCACCAGTTAGAAAGATGTAAATCAGAACTGTAATGAAATATCATTTCTTTGCTGCTAAGATCTTTTTTAAAATAAACAAGAAAACAACAAATGCTATAAAGGGTGTGCTGAGAACCTTCCACTCTTGGTAAAATTGTAAAACAGTACAAAGTATGGTACATCCTCAAAAAACTACATATAAAACTACCTTATGATCCAGCAATCCTACTTCTAGGTATAAACCCTAGAGATATCGTAGAGAAGACATGCACACACCTATGTTGATTGCCACATTATTCACAAAAGCAAAAAGATGGAAAAATGCCCATGAGTGAATAAATAAAGGAATGTGGTATACATGCAATGGAATACATGGCAGCCATAAAAAAAATTCTGAGTTCTCAAAATATATGACAACATGGAAGAATCTAGAGAACATTACACTGAGTGAAATAAGTTGATCACAAAAGGTCAAATTTTGGATGATCTCACTTCTATAAAAAGATCAGAACAGGTATACATACAGAAATCAATGATCATTGGTGGATACCAGGGATACACATTTGCTATATTTGATGATGGGAAAGTTAACAAAAGGTGGGTGGAGTCTGCACAGTTTGACCACAGTAAATGATGTGACTAAGAAAAAAAGCCATTTTAGTAAATGTCATGACACATACAATTTTACAACAACCTGAAAAAGTGCGTAAGGTTACATATGTTTGTATGCATACATGTGTATTATTATTATTATTATTAAGTGACGTTGAGTCAGTTCCAACTCACAGCAATCCTATATAAGGCTTTTCAAGAAGTGGCTGGTGGGTTTAGACTAAAGACCATGTGGTTAGCAGTCCAATGTTTATCCCCTAGCACCATACCAGGATTCCATACTTGCGTATACATATATGAGCATGTGTGCGTATTTGTTTGTTGTTGTTAAGTGCTGTCAAGTTGATTCCAACCCATAGCGACCCTGTAATAGGGTTTCTGAGGAGCAGCTGGTAGGCTTGAGCCACCGACCCTTGCAGTTCAAACGGCTTTACAGTCTGACTCATGGCCCACAGCGCCACACCAGGACTCCATATTTAGATGCAACTATGGCGTAGTGGTTATGAGTTGGGCTGCCAACCTCAAGGTCAGCAGTTCGAAACTACCAGCAGTTCCGTGGGAGAAAGATGAGGCATTCTGCTCTTGTAAAGATTTACAGCCCCGGAAACCCTGTGCAAGGTCACTATGAGTTGGAACTGACACCATGGTACTTAACAACAACATCATACGTATTGAGCAGGAGAGTCCTGGTGAGGTGCTATGGGTTAATGCGTCAAAATGCAAAGCCATGTGAACTACAAGGTCAGTAATTCAAGCACACCAGCTGCTCCTAAGAAACCCTATACAGGGTCGCTATGGGTCGGAATTCACTCAGTGGCACGTAACAACAACATATGTATTGAATGGGTTACTTATGTGGGTACATGCATATATATCCTTATATATAATAGAGCACATGGAGGCAGTTATGAATACTTCTGAGATATAACCAATACAAGACTAAAGCTTAGGACAATAGCCTTCAGGGACAACTTGATCAAATGGCATAATTGTTTTTGTTGTAAAGTGCCATCAAGTCAGTTCTGACCCATAGAGACCCTGTATAGTATTTCCAAGGAATGGCTGGTGGGTTTGAACTGCCGACTTTTCAGTTCAGAGGACTCTGCAGTCCAGCACATAAACCCACAGTACCACACCAGGACTTCATTAAAATAATAGATAGGCTCATAAAATAAAGAAAATCACCCAAGAACACTGCTATATTTACAAATCATCAATATGTATACCAGTCATTTTATTCTGAAGCAAAGATAAAAAGGGAAGGGGATATGGAATCACCAGAAATGAAATGATGAAAACGCTTACTGTAAAAATACAGACAGTGCAACTGAACAATGTGTAGAAAACTGTTCACTGGAAACCTAACTTGCTGTGTAAATTTTCACCAAATACACAGTAAAATATTAATTAAAAAGAAAAAATAATATCAAATGAAAGGTACTTATATTCAGATAAAGAGCGACTGGTCTTGAAAAAGAGGGCTTGAGCTAATATGGGAACAGAAAGGAAAAATGACGTACAGAGTCAGAAGAATACAGAGTGATCATTTAGGGAAATTATTTATATTGAAATGGAAAATCCACATACAAAAAAAAAATCTTTAGTTTGTATTTTTATAGTGGAGGTCTTGAGAAAAAGAAAATTATAGTATTCCTGTCTACAACAGGACTGTACAATGTAATCGTATACTGAGAGCCA